AAGACAACTCATTATTGTGCAATATTCAAGGTTTTAGCTTTTTACATAATAGTAGAGCTGAGAGGAGAGGAGGGGGTGTTGGAGTGTTCATTCGGGAAAATCTGATTCATAAACATAGAGGTGATTTGGAGTAATAGAAAGTATATTTATTGAAATAGAGAATGCATGGAATAAGAACATAATTATAGGAGTAATTTATAGGCCACCTGATCAGTCTGTGCAAGAATTTTGTGATATAACTGGTTCAGCTCTTCATAAAATAAACACAGAGAATAAAATTGTATATCTGATGGGAGATTTATTAAATACCACATCTTGTCATAAAGCTAATGACTTTTTAAATATGCTGGTAACTTTTCTATGTATCCACTCATTCATCACCCTACTCGGGTGACCGATCATTGTAGATAATATTAATGATGTTGCTAATACATTAAATGGTGCTATTTTAGTTGATATCTCAGATCATTTTCCTGTATTTAGTGTTTGTCATCATAAAATCAAGGAGAAGAATCATGTAATTAACAAAAGACAGTTTAATGATAGTAATATTTTTGAATTCAGTAAATGATCGTAACATGTCAGATGGAATTTGAAATGAAGTGATTGTAATGTGAGCTATAGTTGCTTTTTGTCTAAATTTATTAGCATTTATGAAGAATGCTTTCCTTTGCAATAAATAAATGTTAATAGACGTAAGCATAAACCATGGATAAATAAAGTATTAATGAAAAAAAATAAAAAGAAATGGAAATTGTATGAAAAGTCTTTAAAAAATTCAACTGAATATAGGAAAAGAGTTTATAAACAATACAGAAATAAAGTTAAAAATGAAATTAAGAAAGCTAAATATCAATATTTTAAGGATAAATTTAATCATGATAAGGGTGATATTAAACTAATTTGGAAGACTATTAATGGAGAACTTGGTACGAAATCTGTCAAACAATGTGCAATATTCCAACAGTTTCTACAATGATAATTTATTTGTTAATGAAAAATCAGCATATTTTACTCCTATATCATGTAAAGAAATTATCGATATCGTTCGCTGTTTGAAGAATGGTACTAGTGCTGGTTATGATACTAATATTACTGTCGTCAAGAAAATTATACATTTGTTCTATTTTCAATTCATGTTTGTCAACTGGTATTTTCCTAATCAAATGAAAATAGCCAAAGTTATTCCAGTTTTAAAAGTGGTGATCGCAATAATGTACAGAATTACCGGCCTATTTCTGTCCTCCCTATTTTCTCCAATTTTTTTGAAAGTGTTTATATAAGCGTTTACTTGCTTAACATCGTGCAATATTTTGTCTGAAAATCAACACGGTTTCCGAATGGGACACTCCACAACGACTGCTCTTCTTAATTTCATTAATAAAGTTTCTTATGCAATTGATTCTAGACAGTTTACAATTGGTTTATTTCTTGATTTAAGTAAAGCCTTTGATATTTTAGATCATGCAATTTTGTTACGTAAATTAGAGGCTTATGGTATTCGTGGAATTCTTTTGCAATTATTTAAAGATTATTTATCAAATCGTCAACAATTTGTTTCTATTCAAAATCAACAATATTCATATTTGCCCATTCGTTGTGGAGTGCCCCAGGGTTCAATACTTGGTCCTTTACTTTTTTAATTTATATTAATGATATTGTGAGTTCATCTGATTTAATAATAATAATAATAATAATAATATTGCTTATGTAGCGCTTAATACGTCGGGAACATTTTTATATCATTTGCAGACAATACCAGCGTCCAAAGTTCGACTTGTTTGACATGTGTTATATAGGCAATGGCGAGCTAGCGACCTATTTTGACCAAATTACGGTTGATGAAATGTCAAAAGTCAATGGGACATGAGGGTTCCAATGAAAGAGCTAGTGTCAACGTACGTCGGGGTAAATGTGCTTTTCGTTTAAAAAAAAAACGATTTTTTTTTTTTTTTTTTTTTTTTTTTTTTTTTTTTTTTTTTTGTTTTGGGGGGGGGGGGGGTAAAAGTCCATAGGCTATTAAACATGTTAGGCTGCTGGACTCTGACGATAAAGGGCGTTGTCCAGTGAGACTATTCGTAGCCATATGATATGTAAAATCTGAATTGCCGAGGATCCGAATAGTCATTAATTAAAATCATTAAAATTAAAATTTCAAGGGATGTCATGCTTCTTTCGAGAGGGAAGCTAAATCGGCTCAGAAACGTTGGGACGTCAGACCAATATTGCGACTGTCTACAATAATATTGGGAGCCGTTTCGGCCTTTTTTTCTCGATTAGAAGAGTTAAATGCTTACACTTATTTCGGTTATTAATATTATTATCATTATTTAGAACCTAATTAGGAGGATAGTGGTAATTTAGATGTCAACATAAAAAATAACCTCCACCTTTCAACGAAAATGGGATCGCAAGAGGATCGTGTGGTGAGCACCGAGATGTATGATAGCCATTTTATTTTCTTATGGTGCTTTTCGGGCTGATAAACCGGTGCAGGGTATGCGAACGTAGCTAATGTTCTTTGAAAAGAGGCGACATTCACATTCAGTATAATAAAGTCGAAACAACTTGAACAAACGGAGAAAGGGGGGGGGGTGTAATGTTGAAACGTTAACATCTAGTGCAGTAATTTTGGATGGGATGCTTTGTTTAATATTATTGAATGTTTGTTTTATAATTGGTATATAGGAAAAGGAAATGTGGAGGCATCTATCAAAATCGTTGGTGTAGAATTGTCAATTCTGGCATTTTTACCTCTGACATTTTTATACCGAACCATTAAAACGCATATTTACCACTGACAAGGTCTTTCATTTTCGGGGAAAGAAATATGGACATTGCCTTGCCTCTTAGCCTACTTAAAAATGGAACATAACTCAACAAAAATACAAAGACATTTAATTGTTTCCCTTAATACCAAATTTTTATTCAGAAGAAATACTACATACAAGTGTATCAAATGAGATATTATAAATAACTCCACCAAATTTCCCTTTAAGAGAGGGTTGAATATTCAGGTCAACTAGAACGACAACAAGCATACGAGTAAAACTGTAAAACCGATAACATAACACACAAAAAATCAAGGTAAACATAAGAGAAAAACAAGAAAAAAACAAAAACAAAAACAAAACAGGAAACGAATAAGAGGATGGGTATAATATTTATCACGTTTAAAAGTATTTAAAAAAAAAAAAGGATTAAAAAAAAATATATATATATATATATATATATATATATATATAAATATATATATATATATAGATATATAACATAACTAATAGAATATCAAATTGAAGGTAAAAATTGTAAAACTTAGCCATTCAAACCACGTTGACGGATTTATAATGTGGGCAACTTATTAATAACCGATTTTACAAAGGGTTTACTTGATTTATGAGGTCTACTTGTGAAACATTTTCCTTCTAGATTTTGAAAATTGCCTACACCCCCCGACCCCTTCTGATGCTTATAATTCTGTTGTTACCTATTTTTAAGCACAAATTGCCTATTTATAACGGCCCCTCCAGGAAAGAAAAATTCCCCTCCATATAGTAGTTAAACTTGACCTTTCTATTACCGCCTCATGCTTTGACAGAAGAATTCCTCATTTTAAAAGAAGTATAAGTTTACAATTGAATTTACGAAATAAACTTATATGCCAAGGATAATAATAAAGATTGTCTTTCAACGATGTAATGAAAACTAAAATTCATGATTTAATTAATGGTAAAAAAGTAAAAGAGCATCAAATAAAAACAAATAATAGTCACACAGACATTAACGGTAAAGATTAAGAAAGAAGACAGAATTCCCATGTATACCAACAGCATTGCAGTCTTCAAGACAATGTTGAATAATAATAATAATAATATGAACAATTTATATAGCGCTTGTGACAAAAGTTTCAAAGCGCTGTACATGTACACAAATCAAAATTACTTCAAACAAAAAAAATCAATATTACTAATGGAATTAACATTACTCAAAATACCAAGAAAACAAAATATTACTAACATAACTTAACAAATTATCATTACTTACATTAACAAGAAGATCAAATATTTCTAACATAACTTAACAAATTAACATTACTCAAAATACCAAGAAAACAAAATATTACTAACATAACTTAACAAATTATCATTACTTACATTAACAAGAAGATCAAATATTTCTAACATAACTTAACAAATTAACATTACTCAAAATACCAAGAAAACAAAATATTACTAACATAACTTAACAAATTGTCATTACTTACATTAACAAGAAGATCAAATATTTCTAACATAACTTAACAAATTAACATTACTCAAAATACCAAGAAAACAAAATATTACTAACATAACTTAACAAATTATCATTACTTACATTAACAAGAAGATCAAATATTTCTAACATAACTTAACAAATTAACATTACTTAAATACCAAGAAGATCTAACATTACTAACATTACTAACGAAATTAACAAAACATGTAAATTCCTTTGAAATTAACACATTATATCATTATATCAGTGATAGCAATAATTTGAAAAGACATAATAAAGGCATGGTAATATTTATTCGAACTTATTTTATAGTTATTTGGGTTGCTTTTGGGGTCTGGATGATGATTTAGGTTCATGCCGGTAGTCTGTTTGGGTCAGATCAGTTCAATCAGGTATGATGGTGCGAGATGATGAATGATGTTGATCGTGAGGAGAAGGATCTTGAATTGGATACGTTGGGGAATTAAGAAGGGGAGGGGAAGGGGTGGGGGAGGCTAGTGAGCAACAAAAAATTGCCCCGCTGCGAACAGTCATGGTTCAGTTACAAAGCAATGGCCTCGTAACTGTGAGGCCCCTGGATCAAAACCATGTCGATGTGCTATATCGTATCAGGACAATCACCCCCTGGGCAATCACCCCCCGGAAAATTACCCCCCGGAAAACTCCCCCCGTAGGACGATTACCCCCCGGAAAATTACCCCCGGAGAATTACCCCCCGCGGACAATTACCCCCCAAGGACAATTACCCCCCAAAACGCGGCTGTTTTTTGTTGGCGGTGGTTTACCAGTCATATCTGATATGACAATGTTTATAACATTGAATCAAATAAATAATACACCCCGGGCTCTCAAATATTGATCATGGATTTACGTTAATGATGAGCAATTGATAGGGCTTGTTAATCTCACTGGTTTCTTTGATGTCGAATGATCGGCTGCTTTGATCGTAATTAGTCATTACAGCGATGCCATTGGGATCGTCTTCCTTCGTCCAGTAGAGGGTGCCATCGAAGTAGCTTATATCAATCAGTTTTTCTCGCTCTTTTTCGCCACTGATGTCAGGGTCATTCATGTAGTTTGTGAGATCCTGAGCCGTTGAGGGAGATTGGTTTACGTCCTTGTAGTAAGATCGTTTCTTACCAAAGTCACAGAAAAATATGCGTCGTGGATCTCCTGCCACAACAAAGAAAATATGCAAATGCAAAGTAGTTAATCTTATGAATTTAGCCTTTGATTAAATGAAATTTCATGACTAAACCCTCACAACAACCAAGATGGATTTACAATCTAAGTCTGAGAAGACAAGACAAGATTATGTAAAACTTGAAGATAGTACATGACTTTTTGTGTGTGATATACGTGGTGTATTATACAATGGTCATTTCAATTAATTTTGAACTCATTTTTCATACAATTTATCGTTTTCTCCTTGTTTATAGCCCATGATATACAATTATACTGTTAAGTCAACATTAAGAAGGACATGGAAACATGTATATTTCTTAATATTTAAATTGTTAAATCTGCCACTGCCAACACTGTCTCTCTGCGACTAATCAAAACGTTGATTTAACGCCTTTTTTTAAGAAGGTAATATGAGGGATCATTAGAATGTCTGTTATCTGATCATATCAAGTCATCACCACAATTATGTTTTCATTATAGAAAGAAGGGAATATCATTATATTGTAATACAAATACAACATTATTTTCTTTTCTTGATAAATCCATGAGTTAGCATTCCAAAGGCCATGAAGAATCTTTCCACGTACACGGCTGATGTCAATGACCCTTCTAAATAAGAAATACGTACATGGATGATGTCAATGCCAGGGTAATATCAGTGGAGTACCAGGGTCGTTAAGTGTGACATACGTGAGCGCCATACAAGAACCCACAACAACTATTATCACTTTCATGCTTGGCGCTCACATAATTATTGTATTGTATTATACAAAATTATTAAAATTAGTCGCCGACATGCTAATCCAACCACAATGACGTTTGCATCATACCAGGTACCCATTAACACATGGGTGGAGAGGAGCCATGTAGATAAACTGTCTATCTGAAATGACATGTCATGTTACTAAACCCTTCTAAATATGAAATACGTACGGGTGAGATCAATGCTCAATCCAGTGATTTCGGATAGATCATTGTTCCTGTATATAGTCTCCGTGCCTCCAGATCCATCGAGTCGTTTGCGCTGGATTTTGTATTTCAGTGACCAATACAAGAATCTGAAAAATCAAGCGTGCCGTAATAATCAATTTCAACACCAGAAAAAAAAGGAAAGTATGAAACGTTATATTAGATTTTTTTTTTTAATAATTTGGGGTGAACCAAATATTTTATCACTATTTCGTTGTGCGTATATTTCTTCGGCATTGTGGACATCAGGAACGGCAGAACATCTTTTCAAAGTGGGGGGAGGGGTTGCCAAAAAGGGCACACCTTCGGAAAAGGGGCTCCTACGAAAACCTGTCGAAAACGATTGAGTTTTATACCCCCCCCCCCCCGTTATGAATGCATTATCATTTTGTATGCTGTTTTATATCATAGAACAGAGATGTATAAAAAATTATATTGTTTTCTTTCTGGACACAATTGCTGGTAATACGCTAGGTAAAAATGTATGTACGAGCGAGCCAAAATAGAGAGACGTTAATAGCTGACAGCTCTGATGCCTTCTGGAATAGTTGTCTGTATATACAAGTATACCACCTTCTAATTTATTGATGTTCCTGTTGTAATTATTCATTAACCTTGGGTTTTAGGCGAGGTTGTTTTGCGAACGAACGGAAATTATTCAGGGAAAATGAAACGATATTTACCCCGTTTTAAATCTGAGATGCATGGCTCTACGTGTTATCAGTGTCTGTGATATGGTGTAATATTGAAGCCATAACAAAATTGCGCTTCAAAATGATCAAGAATGGCCTCAAAAAAGTAAAAATCTTTGAGTGACCGGTTTTTACCATACTCGTTTCCCCCAATAGACTGTTGTATTATAAAAACCGTTAGGAAAACGCAAAATTTAATTTCGATTTCCAATCATAAATATCTTGATAATCAGACAGGCGATCGGCTTGTAAAAGCCAAGGGGTTTCCGACTGACCTAAAGGTTTATAATTATCATTGCAGCATGAGCTAAATCCAGGATTTTGTTTCAGAATCTGAGACTAAGTTACCCAATCCCTTTAAAGCAAGATCTGCTTACTTCTGTTCCGTCAAGCAATGGTAAGAACCCCCTTTATTTTCCCCTCATGCCCTTGTGATATTACATGTCGACCCTCAAAAATTAACTACGGGCTTGGAAACAGCTTTTCATCTGCCCTCCTTTCAAACGATACATGCATGCCATTTGAATGAGAGACTACACATTATAAGGTACATTATGTGTAGAAAAAAAGTACACCTGTTTGTCACATGAGGGGTAAGTAACCAAGATCGCCCACAGATATCAACATTCCACGTGGTAAAATCAGAGGAAAACTGCTAATTAAGTATAAAAAGGGCTTAAAACATATTTAGGACATTCTACCTTCCTATAAAAAATTAAAAAAAATAAACAAATGGTTATTGTCTTCTGGCAAATCAAACGTTGGGGGATTATCGTGTACAGTGATATCCCGTGCAGGGATTGGCAAGGGACGGCTTAAGTGACATGATATCAGGCGCGTACGCAGGGGGGTGGTTTGGGGGTTAAACCCCCCCCCCCCCCCCCCCCCCTCGAGTTTTTTTTATGTGTATATTTTATGCATGTTATTTTGGAAAACCCCCCCCCCCCCCCCCCAACTGGACAAAATGTCAAATTTTCAAATTTCGAGACCAAAAAAAAAAAAAAATGTACGCTTACCCCCCCCCCCTCCCCCCCCCCCCTCCGCTTATTCAGCGACTGGCTGAGTCGTTGCGATTTTTGGGGACTCTAAATTTAAAAAAAAGTGTACGCTTACCCCCCCCCCCCCCCCCCCCCCCCCTCGCTTATTGAGCGGCTGGTTGAGTCGTTGCGAAATTTTGGGCCGATTTGAAACCCCCCCCCCCCTTGAAAAAATCCTGCGTACGCCACTGCATGATATACCTCCATTATTAAACAAAATGGACATCATTGTATATATCCTGGTTAAACCATGCCAGACTCACCCTTTCTCTTCATCCACTTCTAAGGAATATAGCTCTTCAGATAACTCGGATGTAAAGTCCGTCTCAGCCCTAGGAAACGAGCTTCCTGGTACAATCGATACCGATGTAATTTTCTTCGGACTTTTATTCGCGGTGTAGAGGGTGCGAGATCTCTCTGCAATAGCAATTCCTCGTAGTTCTGTGATTTAATTTTAAAAAATGCAAACTTTCTCGGAACGAGGGTGTTCGGACATCTTAAGAAACGAAATAAGGAGTTCATATATATTTACCCCATGATTAGTAAGGAGGTCTTTCAACAACATTATTTTCTGATTCCATTCAATGGAGATGTCAACAACCCTCAACTTGATGGTATATAAACATAATGTATAAACTTTATTTTTACATGAGGTGTGCAGCCTTGCATCTCTTATATGACAAATCTGCCAGACCATTGCCTTCATTTACAACATGATTTATGTAATAATAATAATTTAGCCACATGAGTACAATTATGTTTGGATTGTAAATACAAACAATATCAGATTCTAATCTCAATCATTCCTCGCAAAATGCATACAATCGTATCTCAAGATTCATATTTATACGACTAAGTGAATACATCATACCATCACCGCTTTGAGAAGTGACCACCTCCCTGTTTCCACCATCCACATCAGCACGATAAACTCGTTTTGTATCCTTGTCAGTCCAGTAGATCTTCTCCTCCACGGAGTCATATGTAATATAACGTGGTTCTTTAGTGGATGGTATAGAAGTGAAGACTAGGTCATCTCGTAGATTTGCAACATAAATCTTGTTCTCGCTGTCTACATCGGTCACAAAGATCAATTCTAAAATAAATGGGATAAAATAAGGTGAGGTTTGGTAACGTTAACGAGATCTAATTTCTTGGGTGTGGAAACACAACTCAGATAGATCATAAACTAGTAAAGTTATACATGTTATAATGTATAAAAACACGCGTTCCATTGCAAGGCAATTATCATATATATGGTCATGATGATGTTAGGCTTTTCATCTATCAGAGCATATCTGGTATGTCTGTTAACTGATATCATTATCATGAAAGCATTCCATGTTTTAAAGGAGTCACTCTCCAGCAACGCTGAGCGCGTTGGCCATGTTGGTTGTGTGTTTTCTTTGGTGCCTGCCCTATATGGTGGCCTTGAAGGGACATCGCGAATAGACTAAATCGCGAAAAATTGGCGATAAAATTCACGATATCGTCAATTTTATCGCTAATTTTTCGCGATTTAGTCTATTCGCGATGTCACTTCAGGGCCACCATAGATATCCGTCACATCTACGAAACACGTGCTGGCCGTGTTGGCTCGGCTGCTTGCACATATGCTGTTGCTCTTCCGCCCGTAGAAAGCGCTTTCGATGACGACATTGTTCGGGCCACAATCCATGGTCGCAGGGGCGTACGCAGGATTTTTTCAAGGGGGGGGGGGGGGGGGGTTTTAAAATCGGGCCCAAAATATTTTGCTCCCGAAAAATTTGAAATCGCGCCGGCCGAAAAGTCGCTCAGTCGGGGGGGGGGGGGGGGGGGGGGGGGGGGAGGGTAAGCGGACAGTTTTTTTGTTTTTTTTGGTCTCGAAATTTGAAAATTTGACATGTTTCTTCGTTGGGGGGGGGGGGGGTAAGGTCACCTTTTTTAGGTTAGCCGTGGGCATATTTTTTTTTTTTTTTTTTTTTTAAATTAATAAAAAAAAAATAAAAAAAAAAAAAATCCAAGGGGGGGGGGGGGGTTTAGGTTTTTTTAGGGGGGTTTACACACATAAAAATACCAAAGGGGGGGGTTTGAACCCCCAACCCCCCCCCCCCCCCCCCCCCCCCCCCCCCCCCCCCCCTGCGTACGCCCCTGCATGGTCGCATAGTGATTGTGACACACTGGAGCCATAGTCGTTGTGCAGATGATATGAGCGAAAAGCAGAGGGTGATGAAATTAATGAATTTGGATTTTATTATAGAAATTACATAGAAATAGCAGGATGTTGATTAGTCGCTCCCCGCAGTTAATTGTTGCAGTTTTCTTCTTACACACAATTTCATTTTCTAAAAAGAAAGATACACTGTCATTGTGAAGATTAACAGTGTTGAAAGGACTGCATGATAACATGATTTTAAGGTCAATTTACAGGTACACAAATAAAATGATAAACATCGTAATCTACAAATGACAGAGGAAGAAGTAGGAGGAGAAGAAGAGGAGGAAATGAAGAAGAAGAAACAAGAAGAGAAGAAGAATAGAAGAATAAAAAGGAAGAATAGGAGAATAAAAAGGTAGTAGAAGAAGAAGAAGAAGAAGAAGAAGAAGAAGAAGAAGAAGAAGAAGAAGAAAAAGGAGATGAAGAAGAAGAAGAAGAAGAAGAAAAGTGGACGAAAACTGGTACCGATCCTCACAAACTTATCATTCTCTTAATTTCATCCACAAGGATGGGGGGGGGGAGAGAGATGTCGAATATGGTCACGAGAGAAAATCTAAATCAAAATCAAAATTACGGAAAAATAATCTGTCGAGATAGTTCAAGAAAAAAAAAATCTTACAAAAAAAAAAAAATATATAAAAAAATTGGGGGAAAAAAGAAAAAAAAAATCGAAAAAAAAAAAATTCTTACCCAAAAAAGCATTTTTTGGGAAGAAAAAAAAAAAATAAAAAAAATAAATAATTTTACCCGAAAAAGCATTTTTTGGGAAAAAAAGAAAATGTGGAAAAAATAATTTTCAAGGGAAAACAAAATTCATGAAATTTTTTTTTCACCAGCTGGTAAAATATAACCAACCAGGAAAATATAACCAACTAGGAAAAATATAACAATTTGGATCCTCGCAATAGATATCACGTGACGAGCTCTGGACCAATCACATATCGGTATCTGTCTAAGCTATCTAATATAATACACTGTTTTCTCTTCCTGGATATGATATACTTACAAATAATCGTGAAAATATAACAGGTGGTGGTGCAATAGCATTCTTTGTGCCAAGTCAATTTGAATAATTATGTTACAATCGAAGACATGAAACTGATGAATGAAATTGCAGAAACTTTGTTTATTGAAATTGCTGATCGCAAAAAAAGAAAAACTATCTTGAGAGTTGTTTATAAGCCACCTCGGAGCAATCATGCTGATTTTCTGGACACTTTGAATAATTTATGACACTATCACTCCTTTCAAAACAAAAAGTGTATCACTATGGGAGATTTCAACTATAATCTGTTAACGAGTGATGCTAATATTCCTGCACATGATTTTAGAGACATATCTCTCTGCCTCTTTCTTGTCACTTATTTATAGACCCACCAATACTTCGGCAACTCTTATTGACTGAATTTAAAGCTGGCATAGTCCTGTCAGATATTACTTACAAGCATACACTTGGTTTCTTAGCAGTCAGGTAAAACAAACAAAGAAACAAAACAATCAAATATTAAAGGGCACTCTTATTTTGCGAAAAAGGTAAAAAGATTCTGTATTGAAACATGTGTGTGAAAGAGGAATCAGAAGAAAACATTGGAAAACAATGTAGCAGGAAGGAAGAAATATAAACAAAACGAAAAAGTGACTTACCAGTGTTCTGGGAGTTCACCTGAAAATTGGACCGATATGTGTAAGTTAAATGTTATGATGTGTTAACTTATAACACAAAAGGTAAATACAAGTTAAAATTCACTTTTTAATGTCGTTCCATACAATGTAAGCACAAAACACATTGTGTCAGATATGTGAGAAAATTAGGAAGGTTTAGATAAAAGATAAGAAAGTTGCATCTGATCAAAAACAAATTTGCAACTCTGTGACGTATCTTTTGAGCACCACTTCCACTTGTTACGGACTTTGAATTCGAAACTTTTCCTTTTATTCCTTTCCCCTTTTCGGAAGAAAATACATAAATATACTGAAATAAGAACAATAGTGGGTCCTAGTACAGCGCTCATGTCTGCCAAACTTGTCAACGATAAACTAATACTGATAGCTCAACTTTAGAAAGGATGTCATTATGGGACATGTGTTTTTACACACGTACCATACGAAAAGGTCTGGTTATTCACCAGCGACATGCAGTAGTGCCATGAAAATGGAAATGCATAGAAGTTTCAGTTCGAAGAAAATAGAAGATGGCTCCAAAAGCATGGAAAAAAGGTCATAACGTTACAGATGAGCGTTTAATTGACTCAGTGCAAAACCCTAATGATCAAAAACTGTCTTCTTCTTGATCTTGTTTTTTCCCTTCAAATTTCTCTGATTCTTACATTTATCCAAAGCAACTTTAGTTTAGGGTAGATGCGTTTTCATCAGGAGCAAATCAACGACAAACAAACTCTTCTCAGTGAATATATATTTATTTAAAAAATATAAAGAATACTACTAACTAACTTAAATGTACTATGTCCCATTTGCAGGCCAAAAAAATGAAAAAGTTAAATTCCAACTGCATTTGAAAGATAATACTAATTTAGAACTTCCCTAAAAAAGGTGGGGCTTGAAAATGTCTTCAATTGGGAAATAACGTTTATTAGTTGTCAAATCGACTTTAGGGCTATAGAGCCCAAAAGTAATAGTCTTGATTTTCAGACAATTATTGTACCGAATGGTCATACGTTTTATGCTGCGCAAAGATTCAATCAGTTTAATCTTGGCCATCACAAGAAGTGGGTTATTGATGTAGACAAATGCTCATGTACCCTTTACAACTCTTTTCATGTATGTTATTACCAAAGAAGGAAAAAAGCCAGTCAGTCACTCAATAGTGTCTGACAGTGAAGTCTAGCAAGTAAACGGGTTTCCTTGCATACTTTGAATATGAGGACACTGCTAACGTTTAAATTTCACAGATAGGACATATAAATGACATATTCATAATTCCTGCAAAGTTCTACAGAATTTGAGGTTGGCTGCAAAAGGGACATAGTACCTTTAAGGAAAGAAAAAGTAAATATTGAAATGTACTGAAAATCAGGGTATGCAAAAGCCAAGGGCCGACGTCCTTGTTGATTTTAATTGTTATGAAACACCAAGAATGAAGAGAAAAAATGTATACACATACCTGACTGCTTGCTAGGCCTATAAGGGCGACGACGGAAGCCAAGATAATAACAATTCCCCCTTTCATTTTGTTGATAGGTGTGTCCTGTCGCAAAATCAAGAATGGTGACTGGAAGCTTTTATTGAGCTCTTATATAAGGTGAGCGATCGTGAGTCACATTTCGTTTTGAGCCATTCATAGCAACCGTTTAGATGGATGAAATTGAAACAAAATATGGGACAACCTATCAATATAATATGGTTTATTATCATAGCCGAGGTTAGCATAACAATGTTGTATTCATGAAGTTGTTGAAAATGCAAATAAACTGTTAGCATGGTTAGTGAAATCTAACCATGAGTTGCGTCGCTATTGAATCGCTCCATCAATTTGAATTAAGGTTTCAAAAGATTTCGTTTTCTCGCCCACTTTTGTTTGGTTTGTTAAAAAACATACAACCGCATTAAGAGGAAAGGAAATTAAAACAAATACCTCCCCTCAAAACATGACAAAAGATCAATTGAATTGTTATTATGCAAGTCTTAAAGAACCTTGGTGATGAAATATATCTACAATGAAAGCCACAAACGGATTTTTACATTTACAGAAGATATCTTCGCAAATGAGTAAGGCCTTGAGCAAATATTGTGACATTTTTCAGGCACCTCATTACATCAATATCGGCCTTCGAGCATTGGTGATTTGTTCATAATAGTTGGATAACATGTTGACAGCAACACCCCCACGTAAATAGATAGAGAGAAATGATAACTGCGTCATATCCAAGGCTACATGGATTGATTCATTTTAATTTTAATTGCTCTTGCTCTTTCAAAAGAGGTCGAAAATGGACTTTCCTGTTTATCAAATCAAGTATGTCTGCAAGATCTTAATTTGACACTTTATCAAAAAATCATTGTACCTTGAGAGAAGCCTAGCCCAGCTACCTACTGGTTGTGTCAAGAGCAGCTATAGTACATGACCTATGGTAGTCTTATAGTGCAGACTCTCATTTACGACTGACCAGGGCTTGTGCCTGCAAACTAGGATTATAGCGCGGAGTTATAACTTTTTTTTCAACCTCGTAAGACATTTAAGGTCTTCCCAAACAACAAGCCTTGGGTAACTAAAGACTTTAGGGACCTTTTGAAAGAAAATAAAGCTGCACTGACAGATGGTATATAATAAAACACGAGTAAAAGAGCTACAAAAAGCAATAAAAAGACGGATTGGTGAATGTAAACACTCATACAAAGAAAAGCTAGAAAGAAACTTGGAAATAACCCAGCCGCAGCGTGGAAAACAATGAACATGAATACCGGGTATACTGGTATACAGAAATCTCCAACCGTGGATTTTGAGGTCACACAAACTTTTGTAGAAGAACTGAATAACTTTTACTGCAGATTTGATAAGGACTTTACAGTTGAGAATGATATTATTGCCAGTAGTCTTAGAGAGACAGGTTCTGAGAATAGGGTTAACCTCACCGAACATGAAGTGAGGGTGGTACTTGGATCAGTCCGTTCTAACAAGGCCCCCGGTTCTTAAAAGTTCTTAAATTGTGAAAAAATCAATTAGCAGGTATCTTGACCAAAATTTTCCAATGCTTGTTGGAACAAGGAACTATTCCTCGGAAATGGAAAATGTCCTTAATCAAACCCATCCCAAAAGTAAAGAAAGCTACTGAGCCAAACGATTTCCGACCTATTTCGCTTACCTGTAATGTGATGAAGTGCTTTGCAAAGGTGATGCTGAAGTATCTTCTTAAATTCTCATCTTCGCACATGGACCCTATGCAGTTTGCGTATAAGTGTAAGAGGGGGGGGGTAGATGATGCATTTTGACATACTTACACAAGATGTACTCTCACCTGGATAAAAGTAAAACGTATGTTAGATCTACATTCGCAGACTTCTCCAGTGCGTTTAATACTATTGCAACTCATGTATTAACGAAGAAATTGGTACCATTTAACGTCCCAACCCAGGTTATTTTATTGATCCAGGACTTCCTTTGCAATCGACCACAGAAAGTGATGATGGGTAATGTTCAATCTAGTATGAGAATTCTGAACACAGGAGCACCTCAAGGATGCGTCCTTTCTCCTGTACTTTTCTCTCTGTACACCAGTGATTGTCGATGTTCCTCAAGTGCGTGTAGCATCATAAAATATGCAGATGACACAGTCATTACCGGTTACATTGCATCTGACGATACCGAATCATACTACGACGATAGATAACTTTATTAAATGGTGTGATGATCACTTCCTTAAACTAAATATATCCAAAACAAAGGAGCTGATAATAGATTACCGACGAAATGCTATTGAACACAGATCAATTTCCGTTCATGGGGAAGATGTAGAGCAAGTACAAGAATATAAGTATCTGGGTACGACCATAAGCAATTCACTAGACTGGTCAAAAAATGTTCAACTAACTCAAAAGAAGGCAAATCAGAGGCTATATTTTGTAGGACCTTAGGAAAGCTAAGGGTAGACAATTATTATCCTCTTCTACAAGTCCCTAATCCAGAGTGTTCTGACGTACAACATAGTGTGATACTTTGCTAATGCAACAAAACTTGATCAGAAGAAACTCAATAAACCCAGGAAAATAGTTCAACGTATACTAGGGATATATTTGCCACTACTTGATAATCTGTACCAAGAGAGACTTTCATCTAACTTGAGACAGGTTTAATGCAGGATCCCACCCACCCACCCACTGACAATGGGCATCTTTCTCATGACCGTTAAGTGGGCATGGCTAAAATCACGACTACAATTTCGACCAATCATAATGACTAGATTTTTTCAACATAGTAAAGAGAGGTTTATAATAAGTTTTATGCAACATGTCCCTGGTGTTTCTTGTTGAGGATGGGTGGTTGAATAGCCACACATTCCTACTTCTTTTGCTCAAATCTTCACCCGCATCAATCATTGCCTGAAATCACTGCGTGTCTTTTTTTGTCGTATGCTTTTTATCCCGATTTGAATGTGCCCTTTATCTTGAGAATTGTTTGACTGTGTAATATGTTATGATCTGTGTGTCTGTGTAGTCGTTGTTGTTGAAGTAATAGATCTATTATAGGCACATGTCACCAAATTAATACCTCCTTACATCCTGCTATGTTTTCTGGTTTGGGTGGGGGGGGGGGATTTTTTGGTATGATGACTCCTGTAGCTATGTTTTTCGGGCAGGAAGCTGATTTTCTTACTTGTTTACATGCAGAATGAAACTCACATTGCTGAAATTGTGGGGTGTTTGTATAATTGTGGTCTGACATCACATATTTGATTGCTACAGTATTTGGCCGTGGGAATGGTGCTGCGGCTCTATGCTTCTGGCCGTAGATATTTTAGACCCCACTGCATTACAGTCAACCATACTTAATTATAGACTATACTTTTCGACTGTATGCATTTCCACTTGAGGTCAAGTAAGTTCATGAATGTCCGAGGTCTGTCCTTTTTCAGTCAGTTGTTGAATGACACAAATCAACTTTAATTTCTGGTGAAACAATTCAAACTTTGACATGGACTGTTTTGCGTGATAATAGCTTAATTTAGTCCTTAGTCACGAGCGAACCCACCTGTTTTGCAAATATAATAGAGGGTTCCATGACACATGCTCCGCCGACGATTGCTCCGCCGACATTTACTCCGCAAAACGCGATAATTGCTCCGCGACATTTGCTCCGCGACATTCGCTCCGACGTCAAATGCTCCGCCGACAAGTGCTCCGCCGACAGTTGCTCCGCCGACAGTTGCTCCGCCGACAATTGCTCCGCCGACAGATGCTCCGCCGACAATTGCTCCTCCGACAATTGCTCCGCCGACAATTGCTCCGCCGTCAATTGCTCCGCAAAACGCGACAATTGCTCCGCCGACATTTGCTCCGCCGACATTTGCTCCGCCTGAAGCGACACTTGCTCCGCCGACATTTGCTCCGCCGACATTTGCTCCGCCGACATTTGCTCCGCCGTCAATTGCTCCGCCGACAATTGCTCCGCATGAAGCGACACTTGCTCCGCCGACATTTGCTCCGCCGACATTTGCTCCGCCGTCAATTGCTCCGCCGACAATTGCTCCGCATGAAGCGACAATTGCTCCGGTGACATATGCTCCGCCGACAATTGCTCCGACGACATTTGCTCCGCCGACAATTGCTCCGCCGACAATTGCTCCGTCGACAATTGCTCCGCCTGAAGCGACAATTGCTCCGGTGACATTTGCTCCGCCGACAATTGCTCCGACGACATTTGCTCCGCATGAAGCGACACTTGCTCCGGTGACATTTGCTCCGACGACATTTGCTCCGCCCAAAAAGTGTCCCATTAAATACAAATGCTACTAGTACTACGACAAATGCTTCGCCTACAATAATTTTTTTTCACGGGTTGTTTTTGTTTCTTTCTTTTTTTCTTCATTTTTTTAATGCATTTCATGACATTATGTAAATGAAATGAAATGAATGAATGTTGATAATGTGGGAGGAAAAAGCAGTTGCCTAAAAGTCATTTCGAATATACTGAAATAACTTTCCATCTATCACTGTACGTCCCACATAATGTACACTAAACACTCATTACATGTCATGGGAAGTTTTTTTTTTTAAAGTAGAGCAGCAAGCCACATTCCCCAATACGCGCATACCTCCTAGTTAATTTCAAACAGCTCATCAATATGTAAGACCTGAAATTACCTCAATGAAAGAAGACTAATAACATGAGAGGAAAGAAAAGAGCAAAAAAGACAACCGTTTTTTGCTATTTCCCATAATGTTTGATTTAAAAAAATAAAAAATAAAATTATAGCTCCTTACGCAAGTTCTCCGGCGAAAGATAATTACTCCGCTCAAAATCTGTTTCATGTATTACTCATTAGCTGATCCAAAGCTCAAGGCTATCTCTCTCTCTCTCTCTTTCTCTCTCTCCCATGCTCCTCTTTTCCTGTTTACACCGTTTTCTTGTCTTCTTTGCTCTTTTCTTTCCTCTCATGCTATTAGTCTTCTTTCATTTCCATCACTTCTTCTCTGCTCCCCCTCTCGAGTTATATTTCTCTCGTTAAAAATTGAAACGTAAAAGTAATACAATCATGTAGTACATTCTTGTTTAGAATAATAT